GCCATGTCACGTCTGTACACCATTGCTCCAGGGGCCTCTCCAGCAAAAAATGACAGAATCCCTAAGATGAAAGGATAGTTCAGAGGACCCTGCTCTGAGAGTGACATGAACCCTGCAGCCCTCCACTGTGAGTTGAGCAAAACAGAATTCTGTGAAGCATGCACACACACACATATACACACACATTAATCTTATGAAAAAGAAGATGTCTATTTTCTTCTTTCAGCCAGTAATACAAGGTAACCAAAGAACACTCCAGCACTGGTGTTTAATCACTCTACTCCAGTCAAGCTAATTCTACATGAGCAAGACTTTAAGCTTGCTTCCAAGCTGCCTTGCTCCTCCACTTAATTTCAAATGTCTCTCACAGAATTCACTAAACATGTAAGAAGCCATGTGAAGGACTGCCCAGTGGCATGAGTGCTTGCCTGGCAAGCTCAAGGTCCAGAGTTTGATCCCCAATACAAAAAAAAAGATTTTTAAGATAAGGAAACTTAAGTCCAAGGAAGGGAAGCATTTTCCCATGGTCAGTGGGCAGTGATTTGTGCAGGAATTTGCATCTCTGAGTCCTGCAACACAACAGCTTCTTGGCACTCTTCACAATAGCATCCCTTAAATGGAGCACCCAGTAGATAAAGACAATGGTAGTCTACAAACAGAATGAATTTTTTTATAGCTATAAAGAATGAGTTCATGTCACAAGCAGGAAAAATATATAGATCTTTATTCTATAATGTTAAGTGAAATAAGTCAAACAAAGAAGAATAAATTAAAGGGAAGATTATAGGAACAGGACATCAGACTTTTTAGAGATAAGAGAGAAGCTCAGGGGATGACAAAAGAAGAATGGTGATTGGAAATGATTAAAATATGATATGCATGTGTATGTATTCCCCAAAAGAAATGTGAATAATATGAATGACAAACATGTAACAATGCAAAAAGAAGTACCTATGAAGAGTAGGGTGATCCTTGACAGTTTTATTAAGATAAAACATACACACCACACAATTCAATGGCTTTCAATATATTCACAAAGTTGCATGTTCACTGAAGCAATTAACCTGAGAACATTGTTGTTACAGCACAAAGAAACTCTGTGTCCCTCATCTGTCACTCCCAAAGCACAGCCTTCCTCATGGCCTGAAAACCACCAGTCTCCTTTCCATCTCCATGGACTTGCCTATTATAGATATTTCAAACAAATTAAAGCATATGATATTTGGTCTTTTGTGATTGGCTTGTTTGACTTAATATAATATTACCTTTCCCTTAGAATAGTGTTTCAATTTGCTTCCAATGTTATTTCATAGTGTAGCATGTGTCAGAACTTTATTCTTTTTATGGCTGATTAATATTCCATTTCATGGACAAAAACATTTCCTAGGTCTATTAGTTTAAGGTCACTGGGATGGCTGGTATAAAAAAATGCTGCTATGCACATTTTAGCATGAGTTTTTGTGTGACCAATAGCTAGAGAGGCCATATCATTTTAAATTCTACCAGCATTAAATGAGGGTTCCAAAACTTCTACTTTCTCCACACTTATCATTCATCATAGCATACAACAGTAGGTACAAAATTACAGCTCCTCTTTGTTGGGATTTGCATTTCCTTGGTAGGTAATGATATATTCAGTATCTTTTCATCTTTTGTGTGACAATGTAAATCTTTTTTTGAGAAAGATACTTAATGTAGATACTTCACACAATTTTAATTGGCCTGTGTTGTTTTAGTGTTGTGCTAAAAGCCCATCCACAAGCTTCTATTGTATTTATAGCTGAATATTTATTCTTTCTTAACTATACTTTAATTGCTCATTAAGAAAAACTAGGTGTTAAAGGAGTTCAGGAAATATCACCATAACATATGTCATTTAGTATGTTAATTATTGGTAGGTAAATTGAGAGAGAGAGAGAGATTCTGAATTTGCCTTTGCTATCTAAGTATAAGTCTTCCAAAGAAACTCAACAGTTATTAACCCCCCAAAAATTAATTTTTATCAAGAAATTAGAGTTATTAGAATAGGATATTCTCAAAACCCAAGACAGATCTTGCTATAAACATCTTTGATTCTTCTGAGGGTTCATCCACCTTTCCCTAAAAACATTTAACCTGAGAATATAGGATCATCAAAACATATGGTGAATAGTTAAAATAAAAATTGTAATAAAATATACATTGCCATATATACCCTTGAAAATACAGAGTTGCTTTGAACACACTTATCCCATTATTCTGGGCAATGTGTCTTTTACTGTATTAAGTTTTTGTTTAATTTAAACAAAGTAGGAAGCTTTGGTTGCACACCTAGATATAAACGATAAGTGTGTGTATCTGTCTTATCTTGTGTTCCTCATCATTGTAATTGTCTATTACTCACATCAGTGCTGTCAGATGGAGACGGCAGTGCAGAAACACCTGTAACACCTGGTCTTCTTTTATCTTTGTAATATTAATGACTATATATAGCCATTCTAGAAAGAGGACTGAGTCCAAGGATATCTGTCATCATCCCAATTGATGGGAAGAATGAATCCTTTAAACTCTGTTTATCTATATTTATAAGATATTTTGGTCTCCAATTCTTTTCTCTGAGGAATGTATTTGGTTTTTTTTAACAAAGTAATGGTAGCCTCAAAGAATAGTCCTTCCTCCTTGCCACTTTCATTTCTTTTGTCTGTTTGTTTGTTGATGTATTTAGTACAGGGCTTACAGGATATCACCACACAGACTGGACTTGTAGTGGTCCTCCTGTTTTCAGCCTCCCAAGCACTGGAATCATAGGTGAGCAGCACCAGGCCCAGTCTCAATCCCTATCTCAGCGTGCCCTGGGGGCAGGGCCAGAATAGCACACTAGGGATTGAACCCTGGTCCCTGCACTTGCATTAGCAGATGCTTTAGTCTGCTGAGCTATCTGGCTGGCCTGCAACTTCCATTCCTTAGAAGCATTTGATCAAAATTGGTTTTAATTCTTTTTGGTAAAATTTATCACTGAAGGCATCTTGTCCTGGACTTCTCTTTGCAATCTTAATTTTATTCCTAATTCAATCTTTCTACTTACTGCAGACCTATTAAAACTATTTACTTATTCTTGAATCAGTTTTGACCTTTTCTTTCTTTCTAAGAATTCTTTCATTTTATCTAAGTTATCTAACATATTACCACTGAGATAGTCACACTATTATTCCCTTATAATTGTTTACTTCACTGAGGTCAGTAGTAATATGGGGACAGTTTTAATGGCCTACCTCAAGAGCACAGCAGATTTGGAGTGTTCTGCTTTATTGTTTACAAAATCATATAATTACATCTATTTGAATATAAAATAATATTTAGCGTTACTTACCATTAAGCAAAACTGAAGTAGCAGGGAAAGTTCACCACCTTTTTCTGCTGGTTCCTGCATCAGCTTTCAAGCAAGACCTGGGTCACCTGCTTGTGATGCCACAGGACAAGATAAACTCTCCTCGGTCAGGGTTCCATCTCTTCCCAGCACTCCAGAGTAGTCTCAGCCAGTGGAGAAGCAGAACTGGAGTTAGCAGGTGACACTGCTTCAGCATACATGGAAAAGTGAAATTCACATAAGCATAGACAGAAATGATACATTAACTGTAAAATTACCAAACCCTTAAAAGTAAACACTGAACTGAGAAAAAAGGAACCTTTCTCCACTGTTGGTGTGAGCACAGGCTGGTGCACCCATTACGGAAACGAGTATGGAGATCCCTCATAAAGCTATGATTGGAGCTTCCTTTCAAGTCAACTATTTCCCTACTAAATATTTTTCCCAAAGAGCTGAGATCATCATGCCACAGTGATATATGTACCCATTTTTATAGCAGTGCAACTTGTCATAGCTAAATACTGGAAACAACACAAAGGCCCATCAACTGAGCAATGGATAAAACAGATGTGGCATTTTTACACAATGGAGTATTACTCAGCTATAAAAAAAAGACAAAATCGAACCTTTTGTAGATAAATGGATGCACCTAGAGACTATATCAGTAAGTGAAATAAATCAGACCTGCATGTGCAAACATCATATTGTCTCACTACTGTGAAAACCTGAATGAGTAAATAAAATTAGAAAGGTATAATAGAAACTGTGAAAGGAAAAGAATTTGTTCAATGGAAAGGAAAAACTGGGATGAGCGAAAATGACATGAAGGGGAAAAGATATATTTAGTTATATATGCAGGATAATTTGGATAATTGTACTGCCAATTTCCGATATTTTTTTCTGATGATCTTTTGAAAGGAGAAGTTAATGCTTAATTTTTTTCTTTTTATTCCTTTTTTATTTTCTTATAACTTTTTTGTTGTTGTTTTGTTTTGTTTTTTCTTTAAACTAATTTTGCACATTTATATTTGGTTACCTAAGCAACTAATTTGAAGATCACATCATGAAATACAGCAACCATTGTTGAATTTCTATTACTCTGTTTAGCGAAATTTTATACCATATTTTTTTTTGTATTCTCTAAAAAATAAAAAAGGGCTGGCCAGATAGTTCAGCAGACTAAAGTGCCTGCTTAGGCAGAGCACAGTGGCCAGGGTTCAATTTCTGGCATGCCTTGCCAGCCCTGCCCCCAGGGCATGCTATTTAGCTATGACAAGTTGCACTGCTATAAAAATGGGTACATATATCACTGTGGCATGATGATCTCAGCTCTTTGGGAAAAATATTTAGTAGGGAAATAGTTGACTTGAAAGGAAGCTCCAATCACAGCATTTGAGACTGAGTCTGGTGGCACACACCTATAATCCCAGTGCTTGGGAGGCTGCAAACAAGAGAACCACTACAAGTCTGATCTGTGTAGTGAGACCCTGTAGGCCCTGAACTAAAATACATTAAAATAAATAAACACTGAAATTAATCATTTAACTACTTAACCTTAGCTCCTTATTAACTCACATTTAAAATCCTGCTTAACTGATGTCTAAGTTCATCATAATAAAACCATACTCTCTTTTTCACTCTTTGTGTTTCTTAGGAGAGCTCTTCTTGAAAACCACATGCTATTTACTGGTTCACACGTTTGGATCGGACATCATAAAGCTGTGAGTACCCTGGGAACTTACTTGGCTGCTGAGGTGCAGGAGGCACGGACATTGTTCTCAGTCCGATGTGCTCGCTGCACAGAGGTGTGGGCTGCTGTGCCAGTTCCCGTCAGCAGTGGGAGACAGAAACCTGATGCATTCCTTTGTCTTCAGCGTGAAGGCTCCCCTTGAAGTGCAGTGTGACAATCCAGCTCAATTTCTCTCCAGGAGCCTTTTCAGGGAAATTCCACACACAGTACCAAGAGTGAATGCCCGGTTCCACTGGCCCATGAGGCCGTCGCAATGGGGCCTTTGTCCTGAGCCCCCCATCTGTGCCGTTTCTGGCCCCCCATCCCCTGAGCTCCAAGCTTCTGACTCCAGGGACTTTTCTCCCCTGTTGGCTGGGATCCTGGCCTCTCCAAATCCCCATGACCCCACCACCATCCACCAGTGATTCATACATGAACTTCTTTTATTTGTAATTTAGTGATTTAGCTACTTTTGATAAGGGAGTAAATACCCAGATTCATCACTCACAGCAAAGTCCAGGACTTGGGATCACCCAGCCTCACCCTGTGTTCCCTCTCTAGCATTCTTACTTTTCCCCAACCACGTTAGCATTGTCTTAGATCCCTGTTCACCTTTCTCTTGAAATCCTTCTCTACAGTTTTAGTATCTATAAGAATATAAATTACAAGTGGGGCATGGTGGCACTTGCTTTTTATCTCAAGACAGGAAGATTGTAAATTCAAAACCAACCTGGGAAACTGATACTCTGTCTCAAAAGTTTGAAAGTTTGGGCTTGTAGCACAGTGTTCCCTAGGTCCTACCTCCCACGAATGCTAGAACATATTTTATATATATTCCTTAAACTCTATATTGTTATTTTTAGCTGCTTCCTTGGCTTATGCAGGACCTAGCACATCTGATGTATCTTTTAGGTCTCATCTCTTAAAATTATGTGTCTGAGATCTGTCCTTGGGTCCTTGTCACATCTGTACCTCATTCTTCCAACCTGTAGCTAGTGCTCATGATGTCTCTGCAGGAGTCTCCCCACTCCTTCACCCACCAATGTGGAGTTATTTTCTGTGCTTCTTTTTTCTCTTCATCATGCCAGAGGTTCAGAATACAGTTTCACCCTTCACAACAGAGTAGCCTAGAGATGCAGAATTTTTAAGATAAAAGTAACTTAAAATACTACAGAGTAAAAACATAATTAGCATTTTTCGTGCTGTGTACCTGCTCCTGCCAATACTGACTTCACTCCATTGGGCAAATGGTTCACGGTGGGCTGAGTGTTTGGGAGCTAATACATCACTGGCTGCTACAGCCTTCTAACCAGACTCGGGTCTGCAGGCTCACTCTGTGTTCTGCGGTTCTATAGCCCACATGATGCCACTCTGGAACACAAGCCTCACTGCGGCACTTCCTTCTGTAACATTCTTCAAAATCTGCATGCCCCTGTAGGATTCCTACCCCATACACAAGACTTTTGATAAACTTGTCCTAAGAGCTTTTCCAGGCTGATCCCTTCATACTCCATAGGCTACCACGCTCCACTTGTAGTTCTCCCCACACCCCAGGAGGACTTTGCTTCCAACCCTTTTCAGGAGATGTTCCTTATGTTTGGCATGTATGAAACCTCTACTCCTAGACATGTCCCTCTTCAACCCTCAGTTCCAGGTCTGCACAAGCCCAGGCCACTTCTCTTTTACTCTCAGCACATTGCTTTAGTGGTTGTTCTCTACCAGCTCTTTTGGCCATCTGAAGGGACAAATGGCACAGCAGGTGAACTGTTCAGGAGACAAGAGAGCTTAAATGATTAAAAAAAAAAAAAAATGAGCCCAGGATGTCACCAAAAAGGGACCTACTCCTGAAGAGTAACATTTTCCCTTCTGAGATGAGTAATTCCTATTAGCACCAAGTAGGCCATTTTGAGGGAAGACAGATGGAATAAGTGATCTTCCTTCATAGTTCTGTCTTGTTTCGTTGTGCATTGCATGCCTGCACCCACATTAGTTGTATTCTCCTCATATAATGTAAGTGATCAGATACAGCTCTGGGTTGATGCGGACCCTGAAAATAACGCCATCATTTAGTTTTGCCTGAATACCAATCTTACTACATTAAAGGCACTTCCTAATCTATAGGATATCCCTTCTAGTATCTCACACCAATCAGTTCTCAATAATGCATGGACTAATGATGCAACAAATATTTTTCCTGTGCACAGGCAGAGACATAGACTGATTTAGAAGTCATAGGGACATAGACTGCTTGGAACACCTAAGAACTCAGGCATCCACAAGAGTCTGGGTCAGGCCGGGTCTCAGTCTGTCTGAACTGCTGTAACAAAATATTTCAGACTGAGTGATTGACAGGGAACAGGAAGTTATCACTCATAGTGCCAGAGGCTGGAAGGTAAAAGAACATGCTGGAAAAAGATTCAGCACCCAGAGGCTCACTTTTAGCCTCCTTGGTGACCCCTTCCTCTTGAACTCTCATGTAACTAAAGAGGCAGATAAATTCCCTTGGGGCCCCTTTTATACAAGGACACTAATTCCCTTCAAAATCTGCCCTGATCATTTCTAAAGGTTCCACCTCTTAAAGCCATTGCATTGGCGATCGTGTTTTAATGTGAGCTTCAGGGGAACACAAAAGCTCAGGCCATAGCACACCAGGAGGGGCTAACTACGGAGCAGGCCAGTTCTAGCCTGTGTCCATATGCTAGACCCCTCTGGCTGGTCTTGATTTCCTTTGATCTCAGTGTTGTCAAAGAAAACCTGACTGTGGTCCCTGTGAGTCTCACCTTGCTCCCTGGTACCTGTTGGTGAGTTTCACCTTGCTCTCTGGTATCTTGTACCTCTAAGGTACAAGCCAAGTCATTGTCAGAGATGAGGAAAGACCTCAAATTCTAAGATTTTAAAAGAAAAATGAAAACAGAAATTATAACAATTTTGGTTCAACTTAAATATAAGTCATGGCTTTTCTGGGTATAAAAAACACAAAACAGTGCTCTGTTATTCATAAGAACTTATTAAAATCACAGTACACTATAGTGTGATCCAGAAAGTAAAATATTAACTTGTAAAAAGATCTTTCAACTGTGCTAGTTTAGCTCAGTGACTACAACTGATACATAAAGCCTCCTTTGAGAGTAATGTCTGAGGTCTAAATTTCAATCTTTTCCAGAAAAATAATGTTCCATCTCTTCTCCTTACCATATGGGCTTTGTTACTCATCCCGTTTGGAAACCCTTCTTCTTTTCTTTAGATTTATCATGATAGAGCTCATCATTGTTGTTGCCATCAGTCTACCACAGTCCTCATTAAGCCTACCACTTTCCTCTGCCACGCATGTGGATGCCTCTCCCCCTGTGCGCCTTGCCCTGTACAGCTGAACAGAGGCACAATGTGTGAGATCATTTCCATGGATATGGAGTTTAGACATTACCACTTTATCCCAATGATGAGTAAAAGTTGGACAAACTGAGAAACAACAACGCTTCTACAGATCCTTCAGAGATGTCAGTAAGGTCACTGGGCAAGCCACCGTCTCTAGAATTTACAAGAGATCGGTGGATAGAATGTCACAACTCCCCAGGACAGAAACTGCCATAGACACCAGAGCTTGAGTAGAGGAACCTGATCTGAACTGTACTTAGCACCTGCTGTAAGCCAGACATGATCAATAATAAGAGTTAAAAGCTCTGGGCTAACTGCCACAGGAATGTGCCCTTACTTGGTTGAATTTTTACTTTCACGAGCTTGATGGGTTCTCACAAAGATTCCTGAGGAGAAAAAAGATCCCAATTGCTTCTGTAGGGAAGAGTCATTTTCAAATACACCAGCCTGTGCTGTTATTCTTCACAAGTCTGCCATCAGGAAAAAATGTGGTAACCAGAGCCTAATCTTATGTGGGTTTTTAAAAAAATCCTTTATTTATTTATTTGTTTATTTGGTACAGGGTTTTGCTACACAGAGAAGACTTGTAGTGATCCTCCTGTCTCAGCCTCCCCAGCACTGGGATTACAGGCGAACACCACCACAGCCTGTTTCAGGGCCAGCACAGCATGCAGTACCTAGGATCAAACCCAGGTCCTTGTGCTTGTCAGACAGGCACTTGGCCTGCTGAGCTATCTCCCCAGCCCTCTTTTGTGGGTTTTATCAGAGGCTATCTGACCTAGGAAAGAAAAAAAAATACCCAATTCCTGACAGTGTTCACTAAGTTGGCCCATGTAAAAGGGGCGGAAAAAATCTGAAAAGCAGTTATGAAGTTCACAGACCAGAGGGACAGCCTCGATGAAAGACTGAGGCCCAAGCACACTGTTCCCTGTCCCTGCGCTACACTGCACATCACTAAAGTCCTACCTACAGCAGTTCTTCTTATTTAGTACACTGTATCTGGCTACCAAGGAAAATTACAAGGCACAGTAAAAGGAAAAGACATAGTTTGAAGAGACAGAACAAACATCAGAACTGAGCAGAGCAGGGATGTTGTAACCATCATAAAAGGAACTAAATCAATTATGACTAATACACTAAGAGTTCTAAAGGTTCAGATGCACAGCATGAGCACGCCGGAGAATGCAAGGTGGGAGACGGAAATCCAAGCGAGGAGTAATTTTAAAATGCTGGAGAGCAAATGAAGAAAAATAAAAACAAGGAGTGCTTTTGATGAGAAAAGAATTCGGTACTTTTGATAGCAAAAAGAACTAGAGATGGTTAAGGAAGGCATAGCTGAGCTTGACGACATAGCAATAAAAATTTCCAAATATAAAAGAAAAAATAACAGAATGAAAAAAGAGGTTCAATATCCAAGTTCTCCTGGATAACAACAAAATAAGCAATAAGAGAGTATAAGAAGAAGAGAAAAGAACAAAATACCTAAAACAGGGGCTGAGAATTCCCTAAATCCAAATCAAACTGATCTAAGAATAAGGAGCACGAATGTCAAAGCAAAAGAAAAGGCAGAAGAGTACACCTGGGCACATCCTTTTCCAAACACATAAAATCAAAGAT